CAAATTCAGTCACCTGGAATAAACATCCTTTACTCATTAAAAAAAATTCTTTTGCATAATTCTTTAATACGTTACTTCAACCTCAAGATGTAATCATGCCTTTTTTTTTTTTTTTTTTACACAAGAGGATATAGCAAGGCTGTTCCTCTCTAACGAGAGTTCAGAAATGGATGACAAAAGCTTCTTGTATTTTAAGTGTATTGAATATATGGGACTGCTGCAGGGCAGGATTGTTTTTCAGTAAGGTCATTAGAAATCCAACCTTGTAGCTTAAGAATACCTTAAAAAAAGCAGTAACTTGTGTGCTATTTAGATGTTTTTAAAACTTTATTCCTTGAATTCTTATGAATTCAAGAACTGTATAGACTGAATTCTGCTGGAAGAAGTAATGTAGTACCCTATTCTACTGAGTACCATAAAAGTACTTGTAGTTCATAACTTCCTGTGCCGAGTGCTCCCCAGCACAAGAAGGACGAGGACATACTGAAGCAAGTCCAGTGAAGGGCCGTGAAAATGGTTCAGGGCTTGGAGCATCTGACGTGCGGGGAGAAGCTCAGAGATGGGGTTGTGCAGCCTCGGGAAGCGACAGCTCAGGGGATCTTAGCAGTGTGTGTCAATACCTGGTTGGGGAGGTAAAGAGGATGGAGTCAGACTCTTTCTGTGATGCACAGAGAGAGGACAAGAGGCAGCGGCCACAAATTCAAATATAGGAAATTTGATTTAAATGTAAGAAAACCTCTTTACTGCGAGGGTAGTCAAACATGGGAGTGGGTTGCCCATTGTGGTGGTAGAGTCTTTGTCCTTGGAGATACTCAAAACCCAACTGGATGTAGCTCTGAGAAAACCTGCTTTGAGCAAGGGAATTGGACTACAGATGTGCGGAGTCCCTTGCAACCTCAACTATTCTTTGACAATCTCATAATATAGTTAATATTGTTTCATGTAGGCTTATGCCAGTGCTTTGTGTGCTAATTAGTCACAAAGGTAGACATAGACATCACTGGTTTCTGTTAAGTGCCTTGTCTGAAGTGTCTCTCTGTTCTGTCATGTGCTAACTGCCAAGAAGGGTTACTGACTTGATGCTTATTTTATGGTATTGCAAAGTATTTCTGTTGCTTTAAATGTCTCCTGTGAAGGATGATTTTTTTTTCAAGTTTTTATGTTACTTTTCAATCCTATAATATTCCATGATTTCTCCTTTTATAGTAACACAAAATCCTTTAAGCCCTTGCTAGGTGATGTTGGCTTTAAGTTTTCAACAAATTTTTCAGATGCATCAATTTTGTACCTGCTTGCCCTATCTTTAGCTGGTTTGTTAGAACTTAGTCCTTAAATATAAAAAGATATTACTTTGAAAAAAAACCAAATTGAAGTTCTTTGAAATTTGCTATGTTTTTCTAAAAATATCCTTTAAAAATTCTTAACATTTTTAAAGTTATATTTTTAATTATTCTAGCTGTTGCAGACAAGACAATTTTTATCCTTTGAAGTGAAGACTTTCCCACTGAATAGCAAATTTCTTCTTGTAATAATCTGTATCTTTCAGCTGCTCATGAAATCGTGCTGGCTTGGAGCCTAACGCTGTTCCGAGGGAAATATATCTAATTCTGTAGTGATGTGAACTAAGTCACTTTTGTGACTGTTTACTCGACTGTGACCTACCTGTTTGTTTGTGGTGTGATGAAAATGCATTGATTTTTCCTATGTTTCTGGCACGTGCAGAAAATTTGAGTGTTATCAGGCAGAAATTTATAAATATTTTTAGATGAAGTTTGTAGACCTGAAATTAAGTAAGGTTAGTTTAGATTATGGGCAAGTTATACAGTAATTATTACTGGGTAACTATTTTTAGGGCCTTTGCTACAATTGTACTGATGGTACGAAGGAGAAGATGATAGCTTAGTAATGCTCAAATTTGCTATTTTATCTTTCAGAGCTGTGGAGTCCCAGAGTGAGGGACAGTGCGCCCCAGTGGACTCCCTGTGGCGACGTTACAGTGAATTTGAGTTGTTGAGGAACTATTTGTCAGTTACCTATCCACATATTGTTGTTCCACCTTTGCCAGAAAAAAGGGTAAGGAAGCTGAGGCTGCAGCTTGCTTTGTATTGTTTGTTATTTATTACTACTAACACTCTTCTGTTTAAATAGGCTGACTTTGTTTGGCATAAGCTATCGGCAGATAATATGGATCCAGATTTTGTGGAAAGAAGAAGAATTGGTTTGGAAAACTTCTTGTTACGTGTGGCTTCACATCCTGTTCTTTGCCAAGACAAAATTTTTTACTCATTTTTAACACAGGTAAAGTGAAGGGATGTGCTTTCTAAATACATTCTTTAGTGATTATTTAAGATAATGTCCTTTTGCTCTTTTTCCCTGCCATTGACCTGTAGCTTGTCCTGTGTCTAGATGAAGGATAGACAACAGGAATAAACATGTGGTGGAAAAGGCTTGTCCATGTAAAAGCTTTAACAGCCCACTGCAGTTGTACAATTGGCCTTCTAATGTACCTTATGACTTTTTTTCCCAGTCTAGTTTTAAGACTCCTAAGAGAGAATTTCCATCTCTTTGGAAGAGCTTATTGGGGCTTAACATGTGTTGGTTGGGAAAACTTCCCTAGGACTAAACCTGAAATAGTTAGCATGCTACAGTGCTGGCTGCGGAGACAGAACTGGCTTCCAATTCACTTTTTGGATATCCATGGTTTCTTTAGCTTTGTGGTTTGAATCATGATCCATTCATATGTGTTGTGGTCCAAAACCAGTACAATATGCTGTCGCAGAAGTTGTGATCCAATTGTCAGCTAAAGCACTGCATCCTGCAGTTTTCAACTTTAGGAGATGTTGGGTGGTTTTTTTCCTATGCTTTCATGAGAGATTCCCAAATAGTGGACTGAGCAGATATGTTTACCGTAGTACAGTGTGTTATGTAGATGAACCAGTGGTTGTCCACTGCTTTCAGTTCCTGTGCAACCACTACACAGGAGCAAGGTGACTGCTTGGGCACTGTAAACAGTTGTCACCTGTACGTTCTCTGTATGCTCTCTGCCTTGAGCTGCTGGTAATCTAATAAGCAATGGATGATAACTACCCTCCTTTCTAAAAAGCTGAGCTGCTACTTCAGACAGAGCTGTGTGTGGCTCCTGCCCCCAGTTAATAGAATGAGGTAATTGAGAAGGGAAGAGAGTTTTTTGGGGGCGGTTAGTAAGTAAGCACAATATAATGACATGTTATTCTTAACCCAGATACTTGAAAAGAGATGGGCAGGGTAGCTGAAGCAGAACCTAGGCTACTGGAGAAGCTCTTCTGATACAGGGGCTTGCAAATGCTGTGGCACTCTTAAGTCACTCTAACTGAATGTTCTTTTCCTGTATTTTTAGGAAAGTGGATGGAAAGAAATGGTGAATGAGACTGGATTTCAGTTAAAGGTAATTACTGCAATTGTCTCTCATGACTGCTGTGACACGCAAATACTCCAGCAAACATGTTTTGGGCTGCTTATGAAAGGCTATCTACTGTTAGATTGAGTTAAAGGCATTGCTTTATGTATTTGTAACTACAAAAACCAATGGTGTTCTTAACATGTAATAGGTAAGACTTCAGCTGTTAAATTCTGTAGCAGGGTTGTTAGTATGTGCCTATGTTCGATGCCTAATCTTGTAATTCTGCTAATAATGTAGAATTATGTTCCTTATAAGCATTAAACTAACGAACTTGACCCCATAGCAGTGCTTTTGTACGTTGTCAGTCTAGTTGAGCATCGTTTTAAAGATAGGTGTCAGATTTAGCCTGGTAAGAGGTGCAAGGTGTCAAAAAAAAAATAAAAAAATCAAAGGAGTCTGAATTGTAGGACTTCTCTACAAGAATAAGTTGCTGAAAGGGTCTAAGACACATGGATGTGGTGCCCCTTAACTGTTTATCAGTGTCTTGAAGTAGTACTATCCCCATTGACATCAGTGAGTTGGCTGGATAAACTGGTGGAAGACTTGCAGAAAGAAATGATCAAAGGTCACATGTCTGTACAAGACAAGTATCTGTGAGAAGCTGATAGATTGCTGGGCTGTGCCTGGAAAAGTTACTATATGGGGACAAATATTGAGCTTTTGTTTCAGTGTAACATGATCAACTCTCATGAAAGCACAACTGAAAACTAGGTGGATTAGGAAGAATTACTCCAGAACTTGACAATCGTTCTTTTCCATCATGGTAGAGATTTTTGCTAATATTCATAATGCAAAAAATGTAATGCTTTCAAGTTGTGTTTCCCTAGTCAACACATCTTTATTTCAACTTATACTGGTAGGAATTCAGAAAGTTTGTGCTGGCAGGGTATGTTCAGGACTGCACACAATGGTGTGTGTATGAAAGAAAACTCATAGCAGAATGCTGAGAATATTTGCCTACCTGAAACCATATTGTAGATTAAATGAGAGATAAGCAAGTCTTGTGGATCCTTCTGGATTTGATTGTGTGTATAGTTTCCCTTTCACAGTTCCTGTTCCCATAGGAAAGAAAAATAACTTTTTGCAAATCCTGGGGGAAAACATCTTTCCTTTATTCAACATCTGAAGTATAAACCCCTCAAGATTGGAAGTTATTTAGCACTACACTGGAATACAAACCTCTATTCATTACATGTCTTAGACTAGAATCACACCACTGGTTTACGTGCTGCTGCTGTCTCTGCTGCTGATGCATTAAAGCAGGATGTGTCTTTTGTCCCAAAGGATTTGAACCAGGCTAACTAAACTTTAAATTAGGCATTAATGCAGTGTAGCATGTTATAGCTGAATGTTGATTTTGGAGACTCTGTTTACTCTGCCAACTGTATCATTAAATCATGCCTTTCTTCCCTCCTACCCCCAGCACTCAATTTTATTCTTTAAGGGATTTGTCACTTGGGGTTTTAACCCTTCCTTTAGGAAGGAGAAAACACCCTCTCTCTTTAGTTTACTTAAATGATTATAGGATCGTAGTAGAAATTAACTGTCTGAAAACTCCTTGGCTATACCTCATTTGATGGGGAATTCATCTCTAGAATGCTTGTGCATATTAGTCTTAAATCAAGTTTAAGACTGGACAGACATTTTTCTAACAGCGTAACCCTGTGTGGTGAAAATGCTCAAAAGTGGAGTGTGGGAGTTACTGTGCTGTTAATGGCAAGAAGGAAATAACCCTACTTAGTTGAGCATTGGCAGGATCTTGGTTCCTGCCTGACAGTGCTTGTGTACTTACTGAACTCTTCCTTCAAAGCGCTACCTGTCTGTAACAAAAGGCAGAAACTTGCACTGTAACTGTAATGTAGGAAGTGATCCTTTTCAAGCGTAAACCTGTTGAATGTGCATGCTGTCCCAATAACTGAAATGGCTTTGGTGCCTGCTGTTTGAACATAAAGACAGCATTTTGTGAAATGGCCAGTTAGAGGGAAGGATTCTGATAACATCAGTGTACCTAGGTAGTGTTTCTACTGTTAGAAGATGTGTGAGGAGAATACATAGGTGAGTCTGACTGGCATGTGTAATGATTTGTGGGGATACAGCTGTGGAGGTCCAAGGCCATACAAGCCCGTGGAGCACTCTGAGTAAACATAAAGCCTGGGCTGGGAGTTGGAGTTGCTGCAATGTTTTGTGTTCCTTGTGCTGGCTTGAACATGCTTCCCCATGCTGCCTTTGTCTTCCCACTTGCAAGATGTTCTTAGAGGAGCACTGCACGTGGTGGTGACAATGAACCTGTTTTCTTCCAACATCAGTCATAGTCTTGCAGGTTTCCTTCACTTACCTTTCAGTTTGTGGACTGTGTTTTGTGTTGGTTGTTTGGTGACTGGAAAAAGGACAGCTAAAGTTAGCATGATTTCCACCAGTACCTCTCATCCTAGTTTGAAGAAAGAAAATGATTTTCCCTCAACTTGGATGCTGTCCTAAGTGTCCTCCAGTTATGGAGGTGGTTCCAGGTGAAAGGAACCTGCAGTGATACTCAAATACAGATATCTTCTGCTCAGCCTCAATGCAGTGGGAGGTGGAACAGTCTCAAACTGCGCCTGTCTTCATTTGTCGAAGTTGCTGAAAGGACCCTAAAGGAAGGGCTCTGTTCTTGGTTTGGGAGAACACTGTGTTCCTAGTATAGATGAGCCCCGAGTGAACTGTATGTAAAATGCTGTATAGCAATGAAAAGTTGTGGTGACGTGGGACCTCTTTGGATGAGGCTGGGATATCTCATGTCTGTTGGTATCTTATGAAGAGTAAATACTTATTGCATAGTTTAATGTTCAGTTAAACTGGGGGGGGGGGCGCGGAAGGAAAGAACCCTCCTCAGAGAGATTCCATACTGCTGTTGCAGTGGTTTGTAAACCAATGTCTCAAAAAGTAAAGTAGCCAATTACCTTTTTAATTAGGTACTGAACTTTCTTCTGTAGAGATTTATGTATGCTCTATTATAGAAAAGAACATTGCATTAAAAATGACTCTCTTCTCATGGACAAATTACATATTTTCTGTGAAGCCAGTCATAAAATAAGAGAACACCATATATAAGATTTTGATTTCACTGGGGAACTGATCCTAGTAATAAAGAGCATATAGAGGTCACTCTACCACCGGTTTTATTTGGTTTGAAAAATATAAAATAGTTTGTCCATATGGTCTTATGTTACCTAATTGCTTCATCTAAAAAGAATGTAGGGTTGTGTATCTTAACTCCATGATTTGTGTAACATTTTAAGAAGGGACTATTTTTGTGGGATTTGGATTATACCAGCTTAATTTTAGTGGATACTGTTTACATCCTAGTTCACAAAAATAGCTTAGTTTTTTGACTTTTTAATAAAAAATCTGACATACAGGGCAGCTAGTGTCAACTTGTTCAATGTTTGAAGATTTAAATATGCCAGGAAGGTAGGATTTTTTTCCTAATGGTGCTGCCAGAAGGCTGAGATTTTTTGTCACTGGAATTTAATTGCATTAAATTAACAAAGCTTTTTTTCCCCTTTTTTCAGGCAGATTCCAGATTAAAAGCTCTTAATGCAACATTCAGAGTGAAAAACCCAGACAAGTAAGATTTCACATCCTTCTTCCCTCCCTTTCTCTTTTTCAGTTACAACTATAACTTCAGATGACAGAATATTTTATCTCCTTAGAATAAATTCAGAAAAGAAAAATTATCTTTCTGCACTTCAAATCTTAACAGAAGCCCAGTAAGGAGGTAGTGTGAAAAGGTTTGATAAATCCTGTTTCTAAGAGCAGGAAACGTTCAGAAAAACGCCATCACTTTATGCAAAGTGAGTCTTTCATTTTAGCTAGATTAAAAGGAAGGAACAAAAAAAGCCCCAGACCCAGAAAAAGAACCTCTTAATATTTGTTTGCAAAGAAATCTTTCCAAGCATGAACAGAATACAGATTGATAGTAGGTCTTTCCAAAAATCTGCTAGAGTACAATTCTGGATGCACGCACCCTGGTGTTGCGGTTCATAGTTCTCTTCAAGCTGCCAATTTTCACAGATGCTTTTGGAAGTCCGGAGGCTGGTTCAGCTCTGTTGCAGTTTAGGAAGCTCTGGGACAGGCACTAGAGCCATCTGCAAACCGGTCAGAATTGTCAGGGTATGTAGTGGGACGTTCATTGAACCCTAGGTGATGCGAGAGTAAAATTAAGAGTTTCTACTTCTGCAGTAGTTAGAAACATTAGTGTGCAGCAGCAGGGTCAAGAGATATTGCTGTTTGCCATGAACATGCAGTAGAGCCCCGTACGAAGTGCCCTTCTGGGTTCAGCTGCTGTCTGATAGTGGCAATAAGAGATGCTATTTGGGGAGAGCCCACGTGCCTGACTGCTTTGTCTGTTTCCTTTGTACTTCCCTAGCATCTATGGGTTTGTATTAAAGACATTAGAGGGTATGTACCTTTCTAAACCTCTTCATAGACTGGTCTGTGAATTGATGCAATTCCTCCTTTTTTTTTTTTTATTGTGTTTGCTTTTGCAGCCTTCTGTGGCAGCAAAGAAGCTTTTAGCTAGAGTTTAATATAAAAGATAACATTCATGAAGGAGGTCAAAAGAGCAGTTCTCTTGGTAGCTACAGGTGAAATTGGCCCCTTGTTTGAATGTTTCACCCTCCATCATCTTTGTCTGTGGCTAGTAGGAGTTAGCTTTTCCTGCTTTCATGGCAGGGAAACTTTGCCAGTAGTCTGCCTGTAGGCATAGGTGGGCAAGCCTGGTTAAGGCTGAGATACTGGTATCTGTCAAGGTAACTTAATGTTTTGGAAAGCAAAGCTGTTGTGAGAAGTGGCTTGGTAAAAAGCAGGAAAAGAGTTAAAACAAGGAGAACATGAGGAAGGGCTTGTAACAAAACCAGTCCCTGAATATCTGAGTCAATAGAGACTTCACAGCACTTGAGAGATATGGCACATGCTTTCTGTTGTGTTCTGCCAGCTACATAGCTTCCAAATTGAACTTTGGGATACAAGTTGTTTAATAAAAAACTGATGAGCATAACTTGTATTTTTTTTTTTAATTCAGATGAGCATAACTTGTAGGGTTTTTTTTTAATTCAGAGAGAGCTTTTTAGTATAGCATGTGCAGCTCTAAGAGGAGGAATAGTGCCTTACTCAGCCTCACACACTTATACGTGATTTGCCTGGAATCTGACACCTTACCCTCTACCTTTTGGTGCTTGTGTGACTGGGTGGTAAGGTGGGTTCAGCAAGCTTGCCTTGCTGAAACAAAAGATCTGACTGCCATGTGGAGTGTAGGCTTTTGGGTTCCTGGGCCAGGAAGAGTTCAGGTGAAGAATAGCTGCAGCTCCCAGTCCAGATTGCCTCATGCACCCTTCAGCTTAGAGCAATGTGGGGAGCTTTAAACAGCTGAAACGATGCAGCTACTCTAGGACTTAAAATGTAGACTGGAAACTAAACCTCCTCCTGTGGGAAGCAATTAATATCTTTAATGATGGAATTATAAGGTGATAAAAACATGGTATTCTGATACACAGAGTTAAATCTGTATCTACTGCAGACCTCTCTAATTTGGCCTCATGGCACTCATCCTCTTGTTCTTTTTCTGTGCTTTAATCAAAACAATAGCTTTCTTCTTGGTGAAAGGTTTCTTTAGAAAACACTAAATCCTTTCCTAAGGCAGATTTTTTTTTCTTTTTTAAAAGAGTAACTCTCCTCTTTTTGTCTGGTTAGTTGGACAAGTGTCTTGTTCTTTAGTGAACAGTTGTGTTCTTGTATCTTCCTTCACAAAGCGGGAAAATGGCACTGCCCTCCCTGAGGTAGGGAGGAGTATTGCCAAGTACAATGCACAAAGTAAATAACTTATATTGAAATACTGGCTACTGAAAATGAAATTTTCTTCTTTGCCATTATCGTAAAAGATACTTTTGAGAAGAAACCTGGTGGTGTTCCTACAGAAATGTGACCTGATCTGTTCTTCGTTTACGTCTGAAGTTCTACTTAACAGCTCAATTAAATATCTAGACTGTTGGTAATGTTGCAGAACAAGTAAAACCAAGTGAAAAGCGCCATTTAAAAAAAGCCTCAGTTACCGAGTGCCAAAACTATTTCTTGTTTCACGCTTCTGCTGTTACGATGCACTGGAAGGTAAACATCCCTTTGTGTGCCTCATCAAACTCAGTTTCGAAATTATTTTATAATTATGTAAATTTTTTTATGTGAGCAATGAGTAGGACTTAAATACATGAGAAATAAACCTTTAATCTGCAACACTGCCAGTCACTTCAAAACAGTTTTTCCTGAAAAACTGTATTTCTGAAATTTTCAACCTTTACAGAAGACTGGGCAAAAGTAGTGTCACTTTGGCTTATGCTTTTCTGAGACAATAAAAAGAAGACAGCTTGGTTTTGAAGTAGTTTGTTTTTTTTTTTTTTTTTGTGGTATTGTATTTTTTAATGGAGGAGGAACTGGCATGGGAGAACATATTTTGCTGCTGGAGTCCGGGATACTGAAAGTCCTCTTAGGTTTCTGACTTTTGCCTTCAGGGAGTACGGAAAGCTTTCTTGCCACTAAATAGAATAAATAAAACTTTTCATTATAAATTTCTGGAGTGGAAAGGAGAGTCTGCCTGAGCTGAAGGCATGCTTTTTAATCATTTGTTTTTAGTTCAATTATTTCAAGTATCTTCACTATACGTGTCTGCAGCTGTCCAATGTGCAGCCCTGGTGCATATTTTATAAAGTGTAAACTGAAAAGATTGCTCTCTAAACCCCACTGTGCAGATCAATGACTGTATGTATTTTTCCCATACAGTTTCTCTGCCGGCTTTTAAATCTTTTTATGTACTTTAACCCTGTGTGTGTCATAATCTTATAAAAGATGCTCCTTGGAGATCAAAAATATTAGAAATGGTAATAAAGCTCCTACTTCCTGAATGTAAGGAGGAGAATATTTTAGGGGAAGACTTCCTGGCAGGGGAAGAAGTGTTAAATGAAAAACCCTGGAATTGCATACTTGGTCACCCAAAACAAGCGACCTGACTCATTTCAGTAAGACCTCTTGGGTACAAGCTATTCTGAAATACAAAGCCTGACTGTGTGCGTGTGGTGGGAGGAGGGATGAAGGGGTTTTTTTTGGGTTTTTTTTTAATGCTTGAACATCAACCTGGAACACTAATCTTAGTCTCCTGATCCTTAATTCTAGTTGTGTTGTTCTGTGTTTGTTTATTTTCAGATCATTGTTTAGTAATTTAGGTAAAGCTGTTTCTGACTTGCCATCTGGATGAAACACATTCTTGTGTACCAAAGTAGGTCATGAGTTACTTGTGTGAAGTAGGGAGGGTTTACTGGTACAGAAGTGGCTGTTGCTGTGGCTTAATTGGTTACCTGTCACTAGCAAAGCTGTGGCAACTGATTCAGCTTTGGCATTAGCATGAGCTAAATATTATCACCTGAAAATACCAACAAGGCTTAACTGGGGTGACTGATAAAATGCCTTTTCCCTTCAGTAGTGGCAGGCCAGCAGTGTGCACGTGGCCATTTGCAGTGGGTTACCTGACTGGTACCTTGTTAAGGTGGAGTGGTTTGATGGCTTCTAGCCGTGCGTGCCGCCTGTGCAGGTACAGGTCTCAGTAGGGTTTCATATATAACTGGTTATTTCATATATAACTAGTTAGAGTTACCGTATGGCTTAGCCTTGGAGGAATTGTGATAATTGTGAATGTTTCCTTGAACTCCTGAAAGGCTATACTCAAAACTGGCTAGATGGCAGCTTGAATTAAAGTATCTTTTGTCAGGTCAGAAACACAAACATCTTTTTATTAAGAAGTATGCTTCAGCGGAGTTTGGCTTTGTACTTATTTGAAGCTTTCCTATTCACCAATGCTTGCTTTTATAAATCCCATTTTAAAAAACACAACAAAATGATGTAATTTCAGTTAACTACTTTTATTTCATAGAACTTTCTCTTAAATTTATCTGAACCTTCAACATTTGCATATAAAAAAAAAAAGCAGTCATGCAAGTATTGGGCTTTAGGGAAATTAAACTCTGCAGTCACTTCTTTAGGAGTCTTCAGCTAATTCCACCTCAACATAATCCAGGCTCCGTCTCGCTGGCTGTAGCACTGTGGCTCTATCTTGCATTCTGTGAAAGCTTGCTTTCATGATGGCTAATGATGTACTATCTGTTTCCTGCTCCCAGGAGATTTACTGAGCTAAAACACTATAGCGATGAACTGCAGTCTGTCATATCACACCTTCTGCGAGTCAGAGCTGTAAGTATTTCCCATGTGTGTCATGACAAATAGTATAATTTATTTATAAGGCAGTATTTCTTGTTTAGTCAAGAGAACTGGTGGTATATATGTTCTAGGATAAGGGCAGTTTTGCCTGAGAGACTGTGGCTCTGGAGTGTGGGGCAGGAGATAGCAATGGGGGGTGCTGACTTTGCACAGATTTGGGGGGGGGAAA